TTCTGGTACTTTAGCCTGGCAATAAGCAATGTAAAACAACTGTGTGTGTGTGTGGTGTGTTTACACAAGTTGTTCTTCTGATCTAAGCAAAACTGGAGGTCATATAATCTACCTACCTTTATGCTGCCTATTCATAAAGTAGTGCAGTTTGCTACTGAATCCTCCAGAGCAAAAACAACAAAAAGTACCATGTTTTGCGACCCTAAGGCACAATAGAGACATACAGGAACGATTGCTCCTTAATATACCTTCGTTTTGCTTTCTTCCAGATCGCCTCTATCTTTACAGATCTCAAGATAGCAATTGATAAAAGAGCATTCAGAAATATACCTGATATTACAAAATATGTCACAGAGTACAGCCTATGCTTAAAGATATTTCCCAGCCTCTCCTGTACTGCCTAGAAATTCTTGGCGTTTCACTTCCAACACATCTCAAGGCTGCCAGCTTGTGGAAGGCTGTCTTAGCTGCAGTTCTGGAGACAGATACCATCCACCATGCCGGTTCTCAGAACAGCATTCTATTCAATGACTCCCCTTCCTCAGTTCATTTGTCTCTGCTCTGTGTTCCTCATCCAAGGTCCGAGGATTTTCTCAAGCTTCCAGGACCATCTGAAATAAGGTGGCTGAGAGGGCTCCTTAAATCAATGGAACCCCATGAGTGGAATCCCCTCCACAGGGGATGTCCTTCCAGGAACAAACATTGTTGGAGTACTAGATGGGACCCAATTACCTTCTGTTAATGGCTTATTTGTGCTTAGCCAAGCCATGGACCCCAAAGGTTTGCCTTTCTTTGCATTAGTCATACTGAAAACAGTTCAAAGTCCTTCTAATTGTAACTTCTCTGGAAAAATGTGCTGTTCAGCATACCTGAAACAATTATCCAAATTAATTTAAAATGTAAAGGGAACCTGGAAAGAAAAGGAGAGTAGGGCCATTCTGCAGCAACAGTAGGGAAGAGAAAAATAGAGGGAGATGAAAAAGCATGCTGGGGTGAGGGAGAAGCTCCTGGATGAGGAAATGTTGGAGGCAAGAGGGGTATGTGTGACAAAAATAATAGAGTAGACTCCAGCAATTGGAGAGGAGGATTCCCAAAGGGCATCTTGCCTACAGCTGCTTTAACTCTGGCAACACAGCTGGGCCTCACCCCCTCTACCACTTTTTTTGACATCTGTCATGTGCTGGAAAGAATCCTAGCTGTTCTTCTCAGGAAGATTTTTTTTCTCTCAGTTTAGAAGATAATCTTCCATGATTTTATACCATGCTCTAGATCTGCATGACAAGCAGACATCCAACGCTGCTCCGAGACATGAAAAAGGACCACCATGAAGTTAGAGCTTGTGCATGTTTCCCCTTGGTCTTCCTTGTTCTGTATCTTGATGGGTCACTATAAAGCAGCGTTTTTCAAGCTTAGCAACTTTAAAGCTAGCTGGGAATTATGGGGTATGAAATCCACACATCTTAAGTTGCTGAGTTTGTAAAATGCTGCTATAAAGTCTCTGATAGCATCCCTTGATTTCCATGTCTTAAGTACGTGTATTTGAAATAAATGCACGTTCTTTCCAAAATTACTTGTACCGCCATTTTATTTTCTTGCATCTCACGTCTTGGAATTACAACTCGCAGAATTCTCAGCTGGCTTGGCTAAAATGGAAGTATGAATAGTAGTAAATTTTCTAATACTATTAGTTGGAAATACAGTGCAAACAGAAGAGAATAATATGCCTTGTAAACCAGAGTAACTACTGGCACATGTTACACTGGCTGGAACTCACACACGTCATACAACCCGCCTTGCCTACCCTACAAGGTTCCATCCAAAAAAGGTACCGGAACTCCGTTCTGGGCGTTCTGTGACAAAAAAAGCCCTGGGTATGTCATTTTAGCAGGAGCATCTTTAAAAGCCAAAAAAGATCCTTGTATTCACTTGGCTAGACCAAAAAAATAGTCAATATGATTTGATTTTTTTTATATTTCTCTCCCTTCCTCTCTACTTGTAGTTGGAGGGGAACAAAATTATTGCATACTGTGTTTCCCCAAAAATAAGACCCGCTCTTATAACTTTTTTGCATCCAAAAGAGGCACCAGGGGGATATTTTCTTACTATCTTATTTTGGGGGATCTCTTACCCGCTTACCTAAGGACCGCCATAGCCAGGCCTCCCACACTCTGACACTTGTTGCGCCGCTGTCCGCTGTTCTGTTTCTAACAGAAGATGATACCATCACCATTTTAAGATCTGCTGACGCTGCATTCATTTTGCAATGAGCAAAATGTTACAGGAATTTTGTCCAAGCAACTATAATAGTTCAGTATACAGAACCTATGTGGTGGTGCCATCAACTGGTAACATCTGGAATTACATTTATTTCATTATTTACATTGTATATAAATTCAAAATGAACTTTTAGAAACAGACCAGACTTGGGATTTGAATGTTTTTTTAGGATGGTAGACCCATTCTGCTATTTTGAGAGGTTGCTATAGGTGCTCTTGCAAACTGGCTGCAGAGGAAGCCTTGCCCAATCACAAGCTGGTTGCCACAGGGATATAACCAGTTGCTAGACTACACCTTTTCAGTACACTATTTGCCATCTCTTCTAGTTTCTCTCCAGAAAAAAAATATTTCCTAATGTACCTGCTTACTTTGTCTTTTTTCAGGGCAGATAGCACACTTATAAAAGGCCACTGAGCTATAGCCAGAGTTTACTTACACATCAAGGAGCCTGCAAGATTGGGCTGAGAGAGAATGGCTGTACCAAGGTCACTAAATCAAGTTTCGTGATTGAGGGAAGACAAGGACCTAGTCTTCCTACTCCTATTGCAACACATTAACCACTGCACCACACTGGCACTTTGAATTTATAAGGTCCATGCAGGACCTTAGGGGGGAAAAGATGGTTTTGGAGGAACAATATTGAATTTCAGGATTTAATGACCATGGTCTAACTAGCAGTTTCCAGGCATTTCATCAGCAACTATTGCTGGCATCTTCAAAGGCAATCATAGACAAAGGCAACTGAATAGGGACTGACTGGGCTGCTGACTTTAAAGCCAAATGACCTGACCAGGTTGGTTTTTAGCCAAACTGGTTTGTTTTTGGTGCAGGCTGGTGAAGGCTAGTCTCACATTGGTTCTTTGTTGTGCCAATCCTAATTGGTGGTTTTAGTGCTGTTTGATCCTGATCATTCATGCTGGCTTCTGATTGGTCATAATCTGCAATGCCTCTTGTAGCAGACCACCTTGCCTCTGAAGATGCCAGCCACAGATGCCAGCAAAACATCAGGAAATTCTATTGTCAATACCACAGTCATTATTGTTCTGTCCACATAACTAAAAGCTTTGCAGTTCAATAGTCAATATAGTCAAATGTAGTCAAATTTCTATAGTGAAAATGAATGTCCGAAAAAGGTGTTCAGACTAGCTACAATATAGAAGCAGGATAATTATATATTTTATTTGATAGCTCTATCTACTTGATAGGTCTGCCCACTTGAAATACATTTTGGGCAAATAATTCAGGTGGGAAAAATCTTAATGGGCCAGACAACATTGTGTATGACTTGGTAGAAATATTGTTTCTTATATGTCTAAAGAAATACCAACTGTAGCATGAACTATAGAGCTAAACCCAACTGATTTTACAAAACCACTATGAGAACTGGCAATGTGGAAATTACAATGGCTTACATACAGGTCGTGAACCTCCACCACAGTTAAACTTCATGAAGGTGAAGGTTTGTTCCTCAAGCTTGTGGGCTGGTTTCCAAATGTTTCATTACTAGGCTAGGTAACATCTTCAATGGAGTTTAAGGGGTGCCAGTGTCAGTGTTCTTCTGTTTACAAGGGCTTCCGGTGTGGGTGTGTCAGGTGAAGATGTTGTCTGACCCACCTACACCTGAAGCCCTTATAAACAGAAGAACACTGACATTGACATCCCCTAAACTCCACTAAAGATGTTAGTTAGCTTGGTAACAAAATGTTTGGAAACCAACCCACAAGCTTGAAGAACGAACCTTCGCCCTCATCCTACACCCAAGCTATAGATATTCGCCATTAAATTTCATATTACAGGCAATAATACATTCCATCCACCATTATTTGGAAAATCCAAAAGAAACACAGAATCTGAATATTTGTTCTTGATGCTACTCATTTTTTTTCTTTAATGGAATACAGAGAAAGTATAGTTGCATATCTCAAATTACATATCATGGAATAGGTCGAAAGTTTTTCTTGCTGAATAAAGCAAGCATCAAAGCCTCTGTAGTTACAGTCTGGGCTGTATTTCAATCAATAGGTGATGGCATCTCTTGAGCAAAGGTCTGATCTGAGATGTTGTCAGATAAAGAACCAGCTTTCTTTCTGCATTTCAAATGCCATCAACTCAGAATTCCCATGTTTTCTGTATGGCAGAGATGGTACTGTACTGACAGATTGTGGCAATAATCATTGTGTGGACATGTGCTAGCAAGAAAGCAAGTGTTCCTGTTGGCCTGATGGCATGAATTGCAGTACAGGTAGTCCTTGATTTATGACCACAATTCAGCCCAAAATTTCTGTTGCTAAGCAAGACAGTTGTTGAGTTGAGTTTTGCCCTATTTTACATCTTTTCTTGCTATAGTTGTTAAATGAATCACTGCAGCTGTTAAGTTAGTAACACAATTGCTAAGTGAATCTGACTTCCCGATTGACTTTGCTTGTCAAAGGTTTGCAAAAGATGAACACATGACATTGCAACTGTCATAAACTGTCATTGCAACATGCTATTTCCCAAGGGTCCAAATTTTGATCACACTATCACAGGGATGCTGCAACAGTTATAAGTGTAAAAAATGGTCATAAGTCACTTTTTCCAGTGCCATTGTAACTTCAAATGGTCACTAAATGAATGATTGTAAGTCAAGAACTACCTGTAATAAAACCTTCCCTAATGTCCAAAAATGCTGTGGGACAATAGATAATGCAGAAAAACAATGAGACACAGGAAGCACCAAGAAAAAAAAAAGTGATGCACGTAGGCTCTATGGAAGGGCTCTTCATGTTTCTATGAAAGAAATATGACCTGAAATAAATAGAAAAAGCAGAATAATAGTTAATTTCATTATAGAACTCTAGGAAAAACACCTACAGTAGAACATCTGGGCTGAAAAAAACACATGCTGTCATAGTCAAACTGTGACTTGTAAGGACCAAAGTTAAATAACAAAAACAAAATGATTTCCATGGTTGAAATGAAGAGTTAGGAATATTCATGAGGAATATTCATAATATAGGGCACTAGTTTCTGCAGTGGGTAACACACAATTTTCTACAAACATCTGTTACTGCTCGTTTTATTGTGCTATACCATAGCTGTTACACCATCAAATACATAAATGCATATTAAGAAATCAGAATAAATAACTGCAACCAAATTGTATAGCAATACAGAAAGCAATGAACATGTAAAATGCACACAATCTTTATCATATGAAACCAGCAAGGACCAGACAGAAGGGGAGCAGTAAGAAATTAAGAAAAGGTATGTTTTTTTTAAATTACCCCATACATTATGCTTCACTAAGAAAAAATGTATCTTCTTAAGAACAAACTGACTTGTATGTTTATTAAACCATCCCACAAATTCGCATTTAAGTCTTTGGATAAATAAGAAAAGGTCAGCACTACAATTAGGCTTAAGTTTGTAAGGTTACAAGTTTCCCTTGCCCAAACCAATGGTCAATTATTTAGCCTTGTAATGGACACTAAGGAGCTTGCCAACAGATAGTTTTACTCTGCAAAAAAGAAAGAGAAGATTTACAAGATTTGTACACCTCCATTTTGTATATTTATAAGGAAAGTGCATAGCAGTGAACTGCATTTCTTGTTTTGTGATTAGAAATTGGATTATTTGGGAAACCGGCTAGGGTTAGGACTAGAAATTAAAAAAATATTATTTTGCTCTAGTAGACATGGTTGAGATTTGTTTCTAGAACTGCATAGAAAGCAAAGCACAAACAAGAGTGTAGATTTGTGCCCAAGACAAAGTACATGTTTCAGAAAAGTTATTGTATGGCTATTTTCTCTGACATTCAGCCATTATGCCATAATTGGAATGTCTATAACTGAGTCAGCAAGTCAAAGTTCTAATGGGTTATTCATGCTCAGATGGCATGACGGTATACCTCTTATTTCTAAAGTTCTGACACTATCATTTTTTTTTAAATTAAGATAAGGTGCAAAACCACAATGCACCTTGTAGAAAATCCAATATGAGATAAATAAATTAAAGTCTTCTTCAAGTAACCCTGATTCATGATGACTTCAGGAAAATGTTCCTGTAGAATTCTTGGCATCAACAAAGAAGTAATTTGCCACTGCTTTTGAGACTATTTGTTTTTTTATTTTCAAGCCTGACCTGTGCTAGTATTTCTTGGTGATCTCTCAGGTATGACTCTGCTTAGATTTTTGAGGCCAACCAATCTCACTCAGTTGCTGCCTGGCCGAAAATATGTTATTTCCTCCAAAGAACTATTTCAGGTAAGTAGATAGGCCTGATGTTTTTTATACTGAATTGGCCATTAAATTAGTTGTATCCAAGATCTTAGCATTGGAAATGTTAATCAGGCACCGTAATTCCTTTGAGTTTGGGACCTTTAGCAATGCTGCACAAAACTGATAAAATATTTTAAAAGGATGCCATTGGGGGAAAGGCATACTTCTCATTGTCCTGTTGGTGATTTGGCAGCATCAAACATCTTCTTCCTGCCTTCCATTCCTGACATGGCCTCCACATTCTTACGCCAGTCACCCACTTCTACTGGACGTTCCTGTGAAGGAAACCAAGACGTTAGTCCTTACTTGAGGAGGAACTTAAGCAAAGGGCTAACTTATACAAGTAGAGATGAAGATATACACTCTGTATATGCCATAGGAACAGAAAGGTGAGGAATACAATATAAGGTCACATGACTAAACTTTTATAAATATAGTTAATATAGGAAGGGTTCCATAAGGGTATATTGTACTGGCAGGTTTCCTGGCATACATTAATATATGCAGAAAATAGAATCTAGACAGGCTGAGCACCAATAAACTCTTCAAAAAGAGTTATTTAAAAAAAAACAGTCTTTGGTATTCAGGAAGTAAAGATGAATATACGAACCAAGATTTAAAGGACAGAATCAAAGCATCTTCTAATTTAAATCGAAACTGTACTGTTTAAGCACTGAAATATATGCCTGTATCCAGGTTAGCTCTGTCTGGAATTTACCATATGCTAACATTTTTCAGATATATTTTCAGATTTATTACTATGTGTAATAAAGAAAAAGGCCTGAATCATTAAACCTTTTATTTCCTTCATCAATATCCTTGCAAAACTGGCCATGTGCATTGTGGGTCCCTTTCCTTTTTATGAAATATTCTCCATTAATCATTGATGTTGGAAAATAAGTCAATGGACAGATTCACATATACAGGTCTAAGCACTGACTTTTCATCCAAGGGAATCAATATAATAAATAGAAAGTGTTGATCTCTGTGGTTGAATTATGTTATCCATGACAGGCTGCTGAAAATTATTTTCTGTGTATTGAGTGACTAGTTATCCCGGAATGATATTTGCAAACATTCATATCATCACTTGCTCCTATGCATAGCTGGCAATGTTTGGTATGCTAAAACCCATCTATAGATTTGATAACCCTTTGTTTAAGTCACCTGACAGTAACATATTTCTTCATTTCTGGCTTGCTTTAACTCTTTTTTATTGTCATCTTTAAGAGTTACAGATATTTCAATGGCCCATCTGCCTTTTTCTTTATTTTTTCATCAGGTACTATATTCCACTGTTTCTTATCTACAAATGTTCACCACAACTGGAACTAGAATTTCAATTGCTAAACAAGGTGGTTGTTAAGTGAGTCATGCCTGACTTTACAACATTTTCCATGGTTGTTAAGTGAATCACTGCAGTTGTTAAATAAATCATATGGTCATTAAGTGAATCCGGCTTCCTCCATTGACTTTGCTGGCTGGGAAAGCTGCAAATGGTGATCATGTGACTCAGGGATGCAGAATTACTG